ACCACACAATTTACTAATTCTAAGTCTGGAGCACACCAATCCAATGTTGAAGAATGTTGGTTCTATATTAGGGGTGAGCAATAAGATGATATTTATCATGCATTTTGGGGAAAACTAAGTAATTTGATTTGATTTTTGATTTAACCTGTTTTTATGGTGCCACTTGTGTACTGTTTTCAACATCAATGCAACTTTCAACTGTGCTTTGAGGATTTTTTGCAGAAAGATATGTCTGTTTTTTTTTAATGCTCTCAAAAGTTATTAAACCTATTCCCATATGTGGCGTAATACCAAAATGGCATAAATAAGGTGAATACCTATTTGTAATTGTTGTGAAATCTCTAGAATGTTCTCCCACGTTCAGTCTGGCTCAGTTGGATTCTCAGTTATTTTGGGGTACCGAAGCCAAACACATTCTGAAGCCAAATCTAAACATCAGGATGGGGAATGGAGAAAGCTGGAAATGGAGAAGCTTGGTATTTGGTGGAGAGCGTTGGTGTTCTCTTGGGGGGAACGATGGGTTGGTGTGGACTGGCCTTACAAGCTTAAGCTTCCAGTTCCATTGTGGCTGTGGTGCAAAATACGGCCACAAATCCACCTGGTCAAGTGGAGTCTGTTCAGGGAAAAAAGTAGTGCAGCTAAATGCAGTATCCATTTGAAAATAACATGCAATTACCTCCCACATCCCACTATAATCTCAGGGAGAAGGCCACACGTGGCAATGGAAGTCATTTCAACTGAAAAGCCAGAGAGAGAAGAGAAAAACACGGGTGGAGGGAGAGAACCCCTGATGGGAGAGGCTCTCACGCTCGCACGCATTTAACTAGTGGAACATAAAAGAGTGAATAAAAATAAAATAAAACAACATACAATTTCAAAAAGGAATCCACCAAAAAAGAAGAGCAGCTCACCAGAATCTGAAGCTCACATCACAGAATCCCCTCTGCAGAAATCTGTCGCAATGGAACAGTGATCGAAACTAATGATGCTATTCCAAATGCTAAATTGGTCTAAATTACAGTGTGAGGATGAACACTATAATTATGTATTGCATTTGTAACATATAGAGTATCAAAATAGAAATCACTCATTATTTATTGAAGCTTGGCCATGCTTTATGTAAGACAATCGTGTTTAAATATAGGACTACAGGAAGTATAGGATGGCAATGAAACACAATGTTATATCAAGCATACTGTCAAGGCTTTTAGTCCAGCGGCTGCTTGCATCTTAAGTTAAACACTTAAGGGGGAAATTTAAAGTTGTAAATTCAGATTTACATTTTTACTACTGTCAAAAACTGAAGTGTTGAAACCTAAACTAAGTGTTTAAGTGAATTTTATTCACTTTCCACTTAAACATATCCCTAAAGAGCTTTTACGCAGCTCACTTAAGGTAAAAAGGAAAACTTAACAAAACTCACTCTGGCTGTTTATGCATGTCATCACTCCTGAACAATCTTGTGTACAACCTGGACATCTATATTGTAGAAAATCTTGTATGACACAGGGGTCCTATGGCATAAAATTAATATGCACAAAATGCTCAGATATTTTTAAAGTCAGGTTGAAATTAAAACAGACCTTTTTTCCTTTGTTAATTCATGTCCTTTCTCATAGTAAGCATCATATCACATCACTTGAAAGACTTCTGCCTGCCTCAAAACGTCTTCTGAGTTTTGATTGCATCACTGTGCACCAGTGGGCATGGGAAAATAATATTAACTAATCATATGTTTCATCTCCCCTCTGCTCAGAGACCCTCCCTAATACAGCATTCCATGTGGAAATACGCCACTGTAATTGATGGAAAGGAAAATGAGTTATTATATCCATTTCACATTGACTTTCAAGGCTCAAAATACTAAAAAATTTGACACTATACATTGCAATGCCCTAAAATGTGTTATCAAGATGCTTTTTTGCCTACTGGTACAACAGGCCCTGAAGGAAAAAAACCTGGGATCAAGAATTGTACGAAACTAGCCATTTCAAAATGTGTTCAGAGTAAACAGATCAGAAGTGAAATTTCTGCATTTGGCTATGAAAGACAGGCACTCAAGTCACTGCATGAAATGCTTTAAACAGCACACTGGCTCCCAAAGGATAAAGACTGCACAATTATATAAGATTAAACAAAAAACATACATTTCTATAAAATTTAATAAACTTTAGGAATACGTAATAATAAGGAATAATACATAGTATGGATAAACACACAAATCTGAGAAGCATGCCCTACTTTCTATTTGGCCCCAGCATTTCCCTTAATACATAACAGACAATACGAAAAAGGCCTTGTAGATGGATTTGCTGATGAGACGCTCCAATTAAATGCATTAAGCAGATCTGAGGACTGCAACTGGCTGCTCAAAATGCACGAGAAGGATTGGTGCAATATATTGATAAGATCGCTACTGAGACATGAGTGACACAGACATTTCTGCATCGCCCTCATGCAGACTGCAGCAACTCGCCCAAAGACATGGCTGTGGGTTGGCTACTGAGGCTGGAGGACGTTTAAAGACGTTTAAAACTGAGCTGGCCTCAAAACCAATTCCTGCAAAACCATTTCACTGTGTACTTGTATATAGCTGAAATGACAATAAAGCCTGACTTGACTTGACTTGACCATAATCACAAATTCAAAGGCAGAGAGGGAAAAACTACAAAAAGGCACCTTCTTAAAAATAGAGAGTTTTGATGGAATAAGCTGCAATAATAACCATCACTGTCACTTTTCAAGTTTAATCAGTGCCTTAACTTACAGTATCTATGACTATGTGGTATCAATCATACTCCAGTCAGGTGTATTGATGCCCTTCCTTTTGTGGGAATAGCGAAAGAAACAATCAAGCAGTTACACATGTATCAGTTACACAAGTTATTATAGTAAATTATAATAACATCCACAGGCTTTACAAAGTTTAATGGTGCCATTTCGTTGGTTAAAGCTCTTTTGCAGTAGCTCTACTGTTCATGAGAAATTCAAGGCCGAGCGGGTCTGTGGTACTGCTCATAAAACACCCGGAACTCCAAACCTTCACTAAAAAGCTGAGGTACATATGAGTTGCCACGTCCCGCTTGCACACCCTTTGCATCCAGACCCTGCTGTAATCTCAGAACAGAACACAACATCGAGTCATAACTATGTTTTTTCTTCGTTTACATTCACCACAGAGCTCCCTCTCCCAGCAGGCTTTTAGCCGTGAAATTAGCAAGTCAGGCTGCGCCGCCGGAGGAGGCGGGGCTATCTATGTAAGCAGCCTGAAGGGGCGGGGTCTGTAAACAACCGCTGTGGATGAGATTTGAACGCAGCCTCACAAAATTATTTACATTTGTTTATTCATTTAACAGACGCTCTCAATAAGAGAGTCTTCAAGTATTTATCACCCAAAAAAGACAGAAAGCTCCATCACAGTTTGATACAGTTACATCCTATAAAAACGAGAGAAGCACATTACTCGTCTTTGTCTAATAACAGTAATTAACATCTTCACGATTTTACAGGTCCAGCTTCCTTCACTCATCACTGCTAGACTTAAAACCCTCCCGCTCGTGTTCATCATCATCATCACCATCATCACCATTATTATCATGATGTCTGGGCCTCCAGGTGTCTCCGAGCAGAGGGCGGCTGTCTTTGGGGGAGGTGCAGCCCTCAGACATCCACAGACAAGAGTCAGACAAAAGAGGAGGGGGGGGGGTAGCGGGGGGCACCTTTCCGGGGCGGATATAATCACCCAGGCTGTAATGCATTTAACAGTCGGGCTGGTCCAGCCCCGCTCTCTAACAGCTTTCCGTGACCTTACAGGCAGCTCACGCCGGACCGGAACGACAACAAACAGATGTTATACAAGCCTAATCAGGCACATCTGGATCCCGTCAACAGCAGACAGGACTTCAGCACAATAAATACGCTTATTATAGCATTTGTGCTCACAGTTTATATGCTATCCTTTATTTTGAAGCCATTTTCAGCAAAACGAGTAGCTAAAAGTTAAATTAGACCATTTAAGCCCGGCCTCCTGTACAGTAACGTAGCTAACGTTCAATATTTTTGTGTGGCTACGAAAGCGCCGCCGACACAGGATCAGAGAAAAGATAATAGAAACGCATTATCAGGATCGATATTTGGGCTAATGTGTCCAAACTAATTAAAAAAGAATTATTATGCTGTTGTATTCACAAAAAAATAATTAATCTAAATAAAAATCCGCCTAACGGTCGTTACCCTCAGCCGTTAGAAGGCTAGCAGCCTGAAGCGCTCGGCTCATTTGTAAAACTGCTAAAACACGTTTTCTCCGAGTGAACAGGGCGGCTCGTTCTGAGCTAAAATAAACGAGCAGCCTCCAGCAGCGACGGCCAGGTGGATACTGAAACACACACACACACACGCCGGCTGGGTGACGGAGTTTAGCCCACTTTCCCCACTTCATTATCCCGCTGAGTCCGCCGTGTCTGAGCGGAGCGGGGCTGTAAGATCAGCTCTGGGAGTCAAACTGAAGTTCTTATTTTAATTTTCCGTTCCACCTTAACGGAGCAGTGGCTCCTCTCCGGGGCCGGAGGGCGCCAGAATGCACCCGCCGCACCAATTAAGGTAGAACGAAAAATTGGAATGAGACGCCAAGTTAAACCTCGTCTGTGGAAGCTACATCCCTTTAATCACTGCTCAGATTCTGGACTTGCTGTGTTGTGCTCGGCTGTAAGGAGAGTGAGGTGAGCTGGTTTTGAGGGCTAACGATAACATTAACGTTACGTTACGCTACGCCTTCCCCTCAAGCGCACTGGAAAACAAAATAAAGAGATGTGAAACCGGGAGAGGAAAAACAGCAGGCCTACTTAAAATCGTTGGAAATTTGTTGTTTTATTTTAACAAGTCACCGCAGTTTCTTTTTCGCCCACAATCGCAACACCGGCTCGTTCCTGTCTATGAAGCAGAATGGAGCAGAGCGGGACTGGGAGCAGTGCAAGGTGCGAAACCAGTAAAAGTGTACTCACTCAGCTCTGTCTGCTCGGCCGTTTAAAGCTCAGACCAGTCTGATTTTAGGTCATGACTGCCGAAACGCTGTTCTTCAAAACTCCATTTACAGCAGCACGGCTCTCCTGTCCGTCCACAGCCGCTCAGCTCCACTCGCCGATTTATGATTTCTCAACATTCAGCCGACTATCACAGGCTTAGAGGGCGGGCCGCGTGTCACGTGACCCCACAAGAACGCCGTTTCATTGGCTGTAGGGGGAAGGATGAGAACGGACGGCTGTTTCTGATTGGATGAGGCAAATCCAGCCGATGCCGTGCTGGAGCTCGCGGGTAAAAGCTGAGCAGGAATTTGTGAGAGAATTTGGTGGAGGCGGTGGTGGTGGTGGTGGTGGGGGGTATGATGAGGGTGGGGCTGCTGGGCATCGCTCGGATCCAGTATGAAATACCATGTGTCCATGAAAACGTACCGGCGTATACATTTTATTTATGAAATAATATGGAGAGGCCCATCTGCTCCCTCCGTAGTGGATGCTGACCGTTTGGCCTCAGCCGTGGGAGTGCTTTAAGTGTTCTCTTGTTTGTTGTTGCCCTAAATGTGACTGCTAGCGTAAGACCACCCTAGTTGCTTGTGGGATTTCTTCAAATATCATTCATCCATTCTGCATGAGACTTTCGCTGTAAGAGAGAACAGTGAACAGGAAACATGGAGGAAATCCACTGAGCCACACAGCCAATAAAAACCTAACAAAGAAACAGAATAAAAAACGGCTACTGAAAATATTCCACAGAGCGTTGGAGAGAAAAAGGGAGATGGCTGTATCTCTAGATTTGTGCTTCAGAAAGAAAGAGACAGAGAGAGACAGAGTGAGAGAGAGAGAGAGAGAGAGAGAGAGAGCTCTGTGCTGTTTTAAAGTAGAGCAGTGAAGTCGTGTGGCACATTTCAGTGAATTATTAAAAAAACAAAACCCCCGTGAATAGAAACGGGGGGCTCCACCCTCGAGGCGTGCTAGGAACACTGAGCCTGAGAATCACGCAAGTGCATCATACAAAACAATGTAACAATAGAATAACTCTTTTCAAAAGCCCACTTTAGGCACCTTCTTCAGAATATAACAGAAAAGAATACAATAGAACAGAAAAGAGCAAAACAGAACAATAGAATAGAACAGAATAGAACAGAGTAAATCAGAACAATAGAATAGAGTAGAACAGAATAGAATAGAATAAACCTCAGCAATAGAATGGAATAGAATAAATCAGAACAAAAGAATAGAACAGAATAGAATAGAGTAAATCAGAACAATAGAATAGAATAGCATATATCAGAACACTAGAATAGAAAAGAATAGGGTAAATCAGAACATAGAATAGAGTAGAATAGAATAGAACAAATCAGAACAGTAGAATACAATAGAACAGAACAGAATAGAATAGAATAAATCAGAACAATATAATAGAAAAAAATAGAGTACATCAGAATAATAGAATAGAATAAATCAGAACAGTAGAACAGAGTAGAATAGAATAGAATAAATCAGAACAATAGAATAGAATAGAATAAGTCAGAACAATAGAACAGAATAAAAAAGAAGACTAAATCAGAACAATAGAATAGAGAAGAATAGAATTCTATTTTTATTTTTTATTTTATTTGATTTGATTTTATCAGATTTTTTGCACTGCAGTAATGATTTCGAAGAAAAATGACGTCGAGAATGTGAGAGAAAATCATTTTCTCTATCACTAATCTAAATAAATTGTATTCCACAAAACACTGAACTGAAATTTCATGAAAAAACACAGTGTTTTACTTAAACAACTGGTTTAATGTAATGTGTAAAAATTGTTAAATTGCAAAAAAAAAAATTATTTCTAAACACACCATTAACTTCCCAATCCATATGCTCAATATAGAGAAAACAAGCTGCAAAAACAGCCTGCTTTGAATAAATTGTTTTTGTAAGGTCACAAAAACCAATGCGCTTACATAAATGTCTATTCAGCAGCAGTTCAGGTCTGACTGTTCACACTGAAGTTATAAGGAGTGTTAACTGCTTTTTGAATGAAGCACCACTGTGGGGCAGCCAATTAGAACAGAGCTCATTATAAGTCTCCAGGTCCCAGTAACAAAAACAGCCTGTTTAATTGTAAGGGTTAAAACAGGTTGGATCATGAAAATCTAATCATGACTGTTTTTGGTACATGGATGTCATAAGTGGAACTGAGGGACAATAATAAAATATGGATATGGGCCGTGTACGTAATATCACAGCTTTTCACAAAAGTACAGAGGCCAGTATTTCTTGCAATGACAATTCAGAAATGATGAAGCATTTTAGTAAAGGTTAGGTGGGTTAATAAATAGAAATGACACAATATCTCTCTGTGTGGCCTTCACTCCACTGTATGGACAATGCAATAAAATTATGCACAATAAAATTTATCTCTTTTGCTGTATCTGCACACACACACACACACACACACACACACAGTGGTTATTAAGAAGGCTGAGACATTTTCTAAGCAAAAGGCTAATCCTTAATGAAAATGTAGCAGGTTTTCTGCAGTGGAGGCTACTTTTCTGCGGTCTCCATGGTGATTTGACACAGATGTCCACATGTGGTACAAACATTTCATTGAGACGGGTTTTCAGTGGCGGAATTTCACTTCTAAATTTAGCCGGATACTTTCACGGCCATTCGTCGCACATTGTAAACGCAGAGGCAAGATTTCACTCCTGCTTGGCAGCTCAGCATAACAGTTCATTTTATGACCAAAACACCGTACAGCTACAAAATTACTGCAAAAAACATCCCAGGATAAACAAATTCCATCAAAACATCATACAACAAATTCCATCAAAACATCATACAACAAAAACACTTTGTCAATCACAGCACAGTCATCTAAAAACACCAACAGCTGTTGGCATTAAGGTGCTGTAGATCCACTATCTTATGAAGTATATAAACTAGTAAAGAATTAACCCCTTGAAATCCCAGGCTTATTACATACTAAGGCTTATTATTCAGTAACTACAGCGACTTCAGTGCAAACTGGTTGAGCATATTTTTAAGTTATAGAAGTGTGTAACAAAACTTTGGGCCCACCAATGGGTCCTGGCCATTTAAGGGGTTGATTACTCTGTAGTTTGTTCAGAATTCGTATTAGTTTATTATTTGCCCTTTGGTTGATTATGTAACCAGTGTATAATTACCACCCCACCAAAATCATTACGACAGAAAAACATTACAAAACACAAAGATATATCTGTACTGCATATGAGAAAATGAACTGATAAAAAAAAACCTATCCAACACTTCACAGAATCTAGCAAAGAATAAAAAAATCTACATCACAGGTAACTGCTTATTGCACTCCATCTGTGTCATTTTGCTCATCCACATCTCACCTAATGTCCTCTCTTGCTGCCCACATGCATAGAGTCTTTTGCCATGCCTGATCTATCCAAAGAAATCTTCAGCCAAGATGTCCAGGCATGCAGCATTCATTGCCTCCCATCATAGGGATGATGATCAATAAAGAAATTCCTCTTTTCTGTAGACAATTGACACCTGGATAGAACTTCAGCTGTGACTGGAATCAGCTGTGAGTGACCTATTAACAATCAGGAGTTTTTCTCTATAATCATTAAATTCTTTTTGATTTTTGCCTTATACAGTATTTGTGACCTTGCGAGCTGATATGCAGTTTATGATCATGTCAGGCTGTGGAGATAAGTGGAACAGTTTTGTAACAGTGCACAGTGCATGCATTTGCAGTTTGAACCACAGAAAGACACAGTTTGCTAAAGCCTGAGACTGAGCGAGAACTGAATTACAGAATCGTGGTAGTTGTGGTCACTGAATGTATTTTGCATTCAAACAAGGAAAAACTGTTGGTTTGGTCCAAACAGTGAGTTGTTATGCTGAATGTGTGAAGAGTTTTGAAAAAGAGCTTACAGAAAAATGTTCACATTTCAGCTGTGCACGTATGGTTGATTGCTGAGGCCCTGTTCACATTGGATATGAGACATCCGTCTCGAGTGATCTGATCATAAGTGGACAATGAGACACATAGCTATTCACACCTGGCATCTCTATGTGTCCCAATTGCATCTCCAGTGATCAGATAACTAGAGGAATGGTACCACCCACATTTACTATGCCAGTGTCTCGCTGCATTTGTTGTCAGACAAAAAATGTACCGCGAGTCTGTGAAAGGGCTGTTACAAATGTTTAACGTGGTTTGAGTGATCAGATCATGATGTGTCTCCAAGACACATTGTACCCCATTCACACCTGTACTTAGTAGAGTCCACTTAAGATCAGATCATAATTGGATGCATGTTAATGTCCAGTGTGAACGGAGCCACACATAACAATTGATTATCAGCCTCGATTGAGTAGATCAGGATTTCCATACATGAGATAAGATGCTGTTTAAATATGATGTAACTAAAGACAGGAGGTTTTTCACTGCATTTATAACCCTTTAGAAATAAATGGTATGAGCCTCTGTAACACAAATCCAGATAGAATTATAATGTTATAAATGTTTATGTATTGGCAAAAACAGACATGTACACAAAAATATAGGGTATTGGCATCAGCCCACATTTACCAGTATGGTGTGTTTATAGTCCACTTATAATGAGTATCTGTACTTGCTTGTTGTGGCCCTGATGTTTTTGCACTAGTTTTATTGTGGATAGTTACTCCATGTAGGTCTGTATGAGAGTCAGCATGGAGAGAACAGAGGGCAGTGTTGGTTTTTTTTTCATGCTTTGCAAATCAATTTAAATAGAGATCACAGTAACACACTGCATGTGTGTGTGTGTGTGTGTGTGTGTGTGTGCACACATGTTCTTGTGCATGTGTATAACATGATTTTTCCATCCTTTGTCACCGTCATCACAAATTCAACTGTGTCTGATCAGCTACACTCGATTACCATGGCAACGTTTCAAAGCCAGGGATTTAACCATATCTGTGCCAAACAGATGCCTGTGAGAGAAGTGTGTGTGTGTGTGTGTGTGTGTGTGTGTAAGAAAAAGAGAGAGAGAGAGAGACAGATAGAGAGAGCTAAAGGCACTATTGTCTGTCAAAGAGTATTGGTTTAGCTTAAGCTTTTGGCTCAAACCAAGTGAAGAT